TCCATGGTCAGGAGGTAAAAAGAGAGAAAAGGTAAATCTATTCGAAATGGGTTCATCTGTCTTTTGAGGTAAGCTGTGTGATCTTTGGTGAGTGTCTGATCCTAAATGGTCTCATACCCCACAGTTTGCATCAACTCAAGATATACCAAGAAAAGCACAGAAACTCATTCTAACACATTACAGCTAGGAATCCAGGGAAGTAGAGCGAAGAGGACAGAGTAACATTTAGATCCAGCATTTTGACTCATGTGGCTGTTCTGTTGAACTAACACTGAGTCCTTGTAGAGTCTTGTTAATCTCTCCGAATGTGTGCATGTGTGCCTATGTGTGTTTGTGTGTAAAAGGCCCATCCTAACCAGACACGGTGTATAAAAGTAGTCTATAATAAACATTGTAGAAATAAAAAGAGCGATCTAGCCAACAAATGAAATTAAGTAAGTGCAGAGAGTGAAAGATATTTCCCAGGCTTGTGTGATTAACTGGTAAGAAAAGCTAAGAAATACATTTAAAGGAAGTTAAAGCAGAACAATCACCTCAAAAGAGAACTTAGATTATTTCTCCTTTTTTCTTGCTGGTTCTGTGTTCAAACTGAAACATTAGGCCTTGACTCTCTCTGTATCCCTGATGGTCCTGTTGCCTTGTCAGTAGTTGTTGGTAGTCAGTTATCTATTTAGTCTGGTTGCAGGTTTGTCTTAACAGAGAATACTAATCGTATGTCTGATAGCAGATCTCAAGAGCAGCAATGAAGAAAGCATTGCCACTCGTTTCAGAACCTCAAGGCCTTTGTTGACCTGCCAAAGAAAGAAATCCAGAACTATCTGAAGCTAAAAACTATGTTCTTTGCACCACACTTCCTCTCTCATATCACTTTCCAGCTACTTGCAGTAATAAGGACATTTGTGTTTGGAAGTGCTTCTCCCCAGCAACAGAGTTTCTGGAATCACCTGACAGCACTGAGTGGCCACATGGTACCACAGGCTGTCACTGCTGGAATTGACATGGACTGAATCTTGTTGACTCTTACAGTGAGGCAGGACTGATTGACCAGAGCAAGGAAAACACCAACCCTGATTCATAAGGCAGAATGCAACCCAAAGTATCAGGGGCAGTTTCCTGAGAGTCAAACAGACCCAATTCTGCATGTGCAGATCAAACATTGGCTCCAGGTGAAGTTCTAGCTTCATGTCGACAGTTACTGCTGTCCTTTCATTTCATGGATACTGTGTCATGATGATGTAGAACACTGTAGGAGAGAGTTATAAAAAGCCTGTGCTTCAGTCCACCCAACGCCTGGGATTTCATTAGTAAAAATGGCCATTATCCAACATAACTGCCAATCTTATAAGTGTTACCCCTGAAGTCACAGTCACCTTTGTCTGCTGCATGGAAAAATAGGAAGCTGTATGTCCTAGTCCTGCGCTGACAGCTGTAGACACCAGACATGATGCTGGGAAAGGAGGAAGTCAAATGTTTGTGGGAAGAAAGGTTAACAACGAGAAGTGATACTTGATTTATTGTTCATTCCATGACCGAGGGATATAAGTTTTGAAAGTATCCTCAATGACTTCAGCAAGGCAATAACCTCTGGGTTGTTTTTTAATGTCACCTCTAATCTTATATAGATCTGTCAATTTTTGACCATCCTGCTTCTTTGTGACCAAGAATATTATTTAGTTAACCAAACAATGGGCCACAGGGAAGATCTAAATTATTTATGTGAAAACAAACCTACCACTTTGCCATACTAACCAAGTGAATTAACAAAAATGATTGATTTATGCATACATGTACTGAGCGTCACACGTTATCTCATAAATATGTATGATTTTTGTCTGATAAATTACTTATTTATTTATTTAAGAAGCAGACTTACACACAGAGAGGAGAGATAGAGTGAGATCTTCTGTCAGCTGAGTCACTCTCCAGATGCCTACAACAGCTGAGATGGGCCATATGAAACCAGGAATCATGACCTTCTTCTGACCCTCTCACGTTAGTAGCAGGGGTCCAAGCACTTGGACTACACCCCGCTGCCCTCCTACATGGTTTAGCACAGGTCTGGATGGAAATGGAATAGCCAGGACTTGAGCCATCCCACTATGGGATGACAGCATTGTATATGGTGGCTTAAGCTGTTGTACCACAGTGCCATCCTCTGTCAAAACTTTTTAGCACATGGAAAATATTTAAGGACAGGTAGCAATTGCAGATATCAATAAGTTCAACTCAAGGCTTTAGCTACAAAAGAAAATGAAACAACGATCTCCAAATCATCCTGACACATATTTTTTGGTTGGCATTTGCCCCAAAGGCTTTCTCCTCTGCATCACTCCTTGATTAAAAAGTGACATTCTGGTCCCAAAGGCCATAACAACTATGTGGACCTTGGAAAATCAATTAAGCTTTCACAGTATATTTCCTCATAAATAAAATGAGCATAATGTGCACCTCTTAGGGATGCTGTGAAAAATAAATGGGGGCCTGGCATGATAGCTCAATGGCTAAATACTCACCTCGCGAGCGTCAGGATCCCACATGGGTGCTGGTTCATTTCCCATTACCCCACTTTCTATCCAGTTCCCTGCTTGTGACCTGGGAAAATAGTGGAGGATAGCCCAAAGTCTTGGACTCTGTACCTGTGTGGGAGACCCGGAAGAAGCTCTCAGCCTCCGGCTTTGGATCATGTCACCTTTGGCTATTGCAGCCACTTGGGGAGTGAGATTTTAAACTAAAATAATAATTGGAATCCTACTTTTTAAAAAATATTTTTTTCATTTTTATTGAAAAGACAGTTTTACAGGAAAAAAAAAAAGGAGAGGCAGAAAGATCTATCATCTGCTGGTTCACTCCCAAATGGCCACAACAATCAGTGCTGAGCTAATCTGAAGCCAGGAACCAGGAGCCTCCTCTGGGTTTCCTACTTGGGTACAGGGTCCCAAGGTTATGAGTACAGTATCCCAGGACTTTGGGCTGTCCTCTGCCACCTTACCAAGCCATAAGCAGTGTGCTGATGGGAAGTGAGGCAGCCAGGACACGAAGCCAGAGGTTTAGCAAGTTGAGCCACTGCAATGGCCTGGGACTCCTAACATTGTTCAGGACTGTTTTCATTCATTATTTCCCAGTATGTTAATTTCCCTTGTACAGTTCACTGTTTGGTGTTTATGTTTGCTTTGGGCATTTGTTTTTACATATCGGGGGAGATACAGTGGGGAAAGATATATTTGTCTTTTTGGGAAATGGCTTATTTCACTAAGCATAATGGTTTCCAGCTGGATTCATTTTGTTGAGTACTATCCCATCGAATAAGCGTACCACATTTTCTTTATCTGTTCATCTGTTGATGGACAACTAGATTGGTTCCACGTCTCAGCAATTGTGAACTGCACTGCTATAAACATGGGCTGCAGGTACTTCTATCCTATGCAGATTTCACTTCATTTGGCTATATTCCCAGAAGTGGGACAAACTGTACGGATTTTTGTTCTTTACATGCCATCCTTCTTTAAAACACTTGACATTCATTGTAAAGCCAACAATCACAGCTGACCAGGACTTCAATTCTTCCAATGATTCACTTGAGATAAAAATGACTTCACTCACGACCTGACAGTTTATTGTGAACAGCCTTTAATTATAATGGGTCATTAAAGTATAGAATACTAGGAGTGTAGGACTGCCTGTCTAGTTCCCACCTCCTTGGCATCGCCGTCACATTGCCATTTGATTTCCCATGAACCACTTCACCAACATCAGAGCAGAGTATGCAATGAGAAAGCTCCAAGCAGATGTCTGGAGGTGTGAGTTTTCACAACTGTGGTGTAGTCAACATAATGGTCTGTGCCTCCATGTTTCCCTGAAGACCTTAGACGGAACAATAATCTTGAGTGACTCTGTCTCACTTGAGGGAGAGAGTACTGCTTCAAGAACTTAAGAAATCAATCCAAATACTGCACCAAACACTGGCACTTCTCACTTCTGAGAGATTTTTGAGGCTTTGTTGTAAGACAAATTTCTAATAAAAAATTTAGAACATTATTTTAAGAGAAGCAGTGTTTCCAATTTTCAGATAGACACATTCGGTGTGGGGAGATTCTCATGCTGAGGATGCTGGCCGCTTCTCAATCTTCTTTCTCAGAGTGACTAGACTCTTCCAGAGGACGAGATAGAGGCCTATAACCTGGGTATTGAACTGGCGAATTGGGTGACTTCAGGACAACACAGACAGCAGGAGAGGTTAACACAGAAAACCCTGTGGCCTTAATCACACATTCAGGAGTCAATAGAGCTGGTGATTTATGCCCATAACAAATGATTAAATGGTGATTATGCCCATTAACAAATGATAAAAAAAAATATGTAGCATCTGTTGCCAGGAAGTAGGCAAAAGAAAGATAACCAGTGAACTTGTAGATAGTTCCGTATATTTTATAAATCAGTGTCCATTAACCTAAGCTTTTCTGTATTTGAAAGCAAATCTAAGTGTACAAGAACAAAGGATAAGCTTGGATTCTCTCTTACAATTTCTTTAAGACCATGTGATTGGCAGACATCCATTATTTTGAAAAGAAAATAATGTAAGGCAACTGAATTTTACATAAAATAGCTGTGACAAGAAATATACTGGGAGCATCACAGTCAAATCAACTTACATAAAGACAAGAGATGACTACCGCGAGTGTATTTTGGACACAGACAGATTGTGTGTGTGTGTGTGTGAGTGAGAGAGAGAGAATGTAATAATATATGAATTATATAGCATATAATATGTAGTAATATAATCAACCTGTTGGTATGTTGGTCCTTAGCTTTCTCCTCAAGTGTTACTTTTGTAAAGATCTGCATTGGCTTATTATCTGACAAGCTTTATAGGTCACCTTATCATCCTTATCTAAAAAACCTACTGATAGTGTGAAAGGCAATTCTATTTAATTCAATTTTCTCAGGGAGGATCTGAGTAGAAAAGAATCAACAAGTCAAAAACTCAAGTGCTTTTTGCTGACTTCAGAGATGTTTTCATTTATTAAGCATATGTGGTAAAACAGAAAAGTAAAACTGCAAGTATCTCATTTTTTGGGTTCGAGGCAATGATTGTTGCTGCCACTGCTGGCAGCAGACACTCAATGGAAACTGGCATGTGCAGCGAAAAACCAAAGGAAGAGCGAGCACTCAGCTCTGATCAGTAGAGTGCTTGAGGGTGGTTGTTACTAACAAAAACAGACTCATCCAAATGGACAGGGAAGCCCTCTTCACAGGCCACAACAATGATTCTGGACCCACTTGTGGCTCGGTACCGGCAGGGAGGGAAGGGGGACCCTCCTATATGCCTGCAAGTGGTGATCTGGAAAGCGGACGTGCTTATTCTTAAGTTATCTCCATAAGGGCTTCCATTCGTATCTTCACAGATGGCCTTGATACTTCCCGAGTTGCCATGAACAAACGTGTTGATGTCTTTGCAGGGTGAGGTCAGGTGTCGTCTCCTCATCATGGTTTCACAATATCTGTCATTATGGCCACGTGGATTACCATCATAGTGCTGGTTCAGGAAGTGTCGGTACCTGGGATTGTTCTGAGCCAGGGTTGGTGGGGTCACACCCAGACCCAGCATGAAGATCAATAACAGGGGACCCAGGGCTGTCACCATCTCTTCCAGCAGAGGCTCCTGCCAAGGGCAAAGGGATGCACTGGGTTCACAGAGCAGCACTGCAGAAGTACGCCAACCGGACAGAGCCCCAGCTCTGCAGGGAGCATCAGGTATCCTCAGCCAACTCATAACAGCTGGCCTTTGGTGCTTCTCATTAACCTCACACATCTTGTGAAGTAGAAAGTCTATGAAACAGTTTCCTGAACATAACTTCCAGCCCGTTTATTCTTTCCTATCCCTTAGGATTATTATCTCTCTATTATCTGTGTAGCATTGATAAAGGTAATTCACCCTCTTTAATTCACTCATTTAATAACAAATACTAGAGCCTATGAAACTGTGTCATAAAATGAAATAAATGTAGTTTAAAAAAAAAAGACAAATACTGCAAAAGTCCTTATTGGATCCAGTCACTGTACGGGTTCTCAGAGCACCAATATCACCTACACCAAATGCCATCCTAAGTGTGGATATGAAGTTCATGTAAAAGAGATGGGATGAGATAGAAACAGAGGAGGTAAGAGCTACAAGGACTTTTAGGGATGGGTTACTCAAAGGTCTTTTGAAGACAGGAATCCAAGTACTCAAATTATATGTCAGGAGAGAAGTTGAGAGCTGTATCACAATGAGGCGCAGAAAGACAGAGTTGCCACCCCAAGAAGTAGGCGGCCATGGGAAAATGACTATGTACTGTTTGGGGGAGAGGAAGAAGCAAGGGAGAGGCCTCTTGGAAGTATGTCTGGACTAACTCTTCTGGAGAAGAAAGAGGAATTCAAGTTTATTCTTAGGAGGTTTTCACATTGGGAGTAACGTGGATTACCCTAGAGATTTTTCTAGTTTCATCTATATATGTGCCTGAACTGTTGTAAATTATTTTACCATATGGTAAAAAGTATCCTTAGACTTCTCACAGTACCAAAGACCATATAATTTTAGGGTTGTTTTTAAATAACTATCAAAGAAGAAGAAAGAAGAAAGTGAGTATTCCTGCCAGCATTTTTCAAGAGCTACTAGTCTCAAACTCCAGAACCATCCATTCCAGAGGGTCATGTCACAGAAACTCAGACACACCTATAGAGAAAGTTCTAGGCTTTCTCTTGGGACAGGACTGAACTCAATGCTAGAGTACTAAAAATCGAACTCAGCAAGTACGATTTATAACAAAATTAAAAAAATTATTACATATGAAATTTGAGACCTGACAAGAGCTTGATGTTTGCAGTAAATAGTTTCTAGCTTTTCTCTTAATTCTCTGTGGAAAAATCTGATGAATCAGAAGCTTGTAAATCACCTTTAAAAATCAGCTTAATAGTTAAGATGTCCAGTTCAGATGCTCACATTCATTATTCAAGTGTCTGGGTTCAAGTTCTCATTCATTTTAAGTTCCTGAGAATGAGCACCCTGAACAGCAGCAGAGAACAGCTGAAGTAGCTGTGTTCCTGCCACTACCTAGAGGTCTAGTTTGAAGTCCCAGCTCCTAGCTTGAATCTGGCTCAAGTCCAGCTGCTGTAGGCATTTATGGCGTGAACCAGCAGATGGGAGCTCTGTGACAGACAGGTAGAGAATAAGAGACGTCATACCCCAAAGAGGCATTAGGTGGCAGTGGTGGACAGAAATGTTAAGGGACCATTGGTCTTTGCCAAGTGTACAGATTACGGAGATATTACAATACAAAGGCAGCAGTTGGAGCTGGCAGATTTGTCTGTCCAAGTTGTCCACACCTTAAATATTAAGAAAAAAAATCACAGTAGATGTAGACGTCAAATTATGACCTACCAGTCTCAAAACAAAGCCTTACCTGTTGTGGCGTTTCATGGGTGTCATTTCCAATCATGCCACTACCCATGTGATCCTGCACTAACAACTGTTTAATTGTGGCATGCGATCTACTGGATGGCAGGGTCCACGTTATTTGCTTTTAATCACAGTGTCCACCTCCTAATAAATTTTCAATAATGCTATTTTATGCTTAGCTCCATTTTCTTCTTCAGGATGAAAATCATCCACCTCTAAAGTAAGAGAGTTGCTAGCTCTAAAAGTTTAAAATTCCACAGTTATGAAGCATAGCAGAGCTTTCATTAACTAGAAAAGTCCTGTGACCCAGGAACTAGAGATAAATCTGTAAGGGTTTAGTTGGTGTCACAAGATATCAGCTGGAAGAAACAGATGCTAGGGAGACCTGTGGCCAAATTTCATCAAAATACATCACTTTAAGGTCTGATGTGTAAGCAAAGGCCACTCTAAATTTACAGCACTACACTTACATTTCATTAGGATTTTGCCACCAAAGTAAACAAAACAGAACAAACAAACAAATTTAAAAAAAATCCGCTCTTTGGAATTAGAAAAAAAAAAAAAACCTGGAAAACTGAAAGCATATTTTTGCTTCTGATTTGTAGAATTTGCACATTCATTTCGTAACAATCCAGCAGTCCTGACTTACTAAGACATCTGGAAACCAAATTGCAGCACACACACACACACACACCACAGCTATCATGATCTGCTCTCTCACTCTCAAATACCTCACTTGTATTCTCCCATTTTTAATGGGAGCCTGGCACAGTGGCCTAGCGGCTAAAGTCCTCTCCTTGAGCCTTGAACGCACCAGGATCCCATATGGGCATTGGTTTGTATCCTGGCAGCTCCACTTCCCATCCAGCTCCCTGTTCATGACCTGGGAAAGCAGTCGAGGACAACCCAAAGCCTTGGGACCCTGCACCCACCCGCGTGGCAGACGCGGAAGAGCTCCTGGCTCCTGGCTTTGGATCAGCATAGCACCGGCCCTTGTGGTCACTTGGGGAATGAATCATCAGAGAGAAGATCTTCCTCTCTCTCTCCTCCTTTCTGTATATCTGACTTTGTCATAAAAATAAAACAGATCTTAAAAAAAAGAAAACTTTTTAATGAAGCCACGCAGTGTGGAATAGAGAGAAAATGAGCAATAGATTGCTTACAATGCAGAAGTCAGTCTGCCAAGGCTCAGAATATCGAGTCCTACTGAATCAGACCTGTCAGTGTGTTTCTAGTCAGTGGAATTGTTTCCAGTTCTTCAGATTAACCTTACATTCTTTCTTAAATTAATCCCTTACTCTTCACAAGAATTAATGTTCCCTTCCTCTTCCCAAAGACAATGTGTTGTATTCAAGACATCCATCAAATAAACATACCAGCCAGGAAGTTAATTGGACAATTTACCATGAATTACTATCATCATTTCCGTAGAGTAAGACCAGTCTGTCTATTCTAGGGCCACATCCCCCAAAGAAGAAATGTTAACATCTGACATGTCTTTTTTGCTTTATTTCCTTTCCTTCTTTCTTCCCTTGGATCTGCAAATGTGCTTTTTTTGGTCTTAGGATTTCATTTTTAAAGAACATGTTTAATTTTGGGGGGGGGTGGAAAGAAGGAAGCTGTGTTAAAGCATACCACCCTCTCTTTTCTTGGTACACTACATATAATGCTTAGAACAGGGTGGGCAAAGGGAGAACCCTGCACCTCAACAGATGGCTTCTCCAGACCTTTGCGTTGACCATCACTCTTTATGAATCTCTCCTTAACTCTCCCCTTGTTCCCAGTCTTACTATTTTCTCTTTGCCTACATATAGGCTATTCCAAAAGAAATGTTTTCATTTTATACTTTAGAATCTGATTAATTTTTTCATTCAGTAGCTTGAGCCAAGAAGCTTTAAAGAGGGATAAAGGATTTCAGATAAAATACACATATGGCTAGAATCATTTGCACAAAATAGAACAACAGATTATCCAAGAGGAAGAATCTAACAAAAATCTGGCAGGCTTCCTCCAACCAGAGAGGGGATCCAGCTGTTTGCTCCTGGAGGGTCTAGTTGTGTGAACCAAGAAGCCCATCTTGGATCTGCTTATATAGTGTTCATTTGAAGGGGTGGAGAGAGCCAGCCTATGGATGTCCCAATCATGGCAGAGATGAGCAAACCAAGGGCACTGTCCTTAAAGGAGAGTCATTCACCTTTTCCCTGGGCACAACTGGATCAAATATTAACCCATCTAATAGGAGCAGAAATTTGTTTCGGGTAACAAAGTTTGATAAGTGTGGCCTTTTGTCCAAAAAGCTGCCTTTTTCTGATGTCTGTGGTTCTTACTCTTGCCTATGACCAAACCGAAGTTTCATTGTTACATGGAGTTGTTTAGATCCACAGGACACCATCTCTGATCTCATGGGCCAATTCCAAGGACTGCTGTGAAGGAAGTCTGCAGAATAAGATATGGTCTTCTAGTGGGATGTTGTGCTTCCATTCTATTTGTCCCCATAACTTGCTTTTATGAAAGGATGTTAAGCAGATTGTTCTACAGATTCCAAAGGTGCAGGAAAGCACTTCTAGAGAAGGTTCTATTATTATACCCTGCCCTCCACCTCAGCATTTCTGGCAACCCCCTGAAATATCCTTGCCACATTTTCTTGGTTTCTCCATTCTTTCACTCTTTTTTTTTCTTTAATTAGAAAGTGAGATTTCCAGAGAGGAGAAACACAGAGAGAAATCTTCCATCCATTGGTTCAGCCTGCAAGGGACCACGATGGCACAAGGAACGGAAGGGGAGTGGAGCATGTAGTAACCAGCACTCACATTGGATCCCAGCACATGCAAGGCAAGAACTCTAGCCACTAGGCTACTGTTCTGGGGCCCATTCTTTCACTTTGTTGCTAAGAGACTACCCCTGAACACTCTATCTTCTTTTCCTGATATACTGCTATGAAATTTGTTATCTCCAACGTCAAGGCAACGTTGATAGTACAGCTACTTGCAAAGTAGAGGCATTGCTTACATAGAAACAGTGGGCCAAAGACCCCCAGGATCACTTTATGTATCTTACAGTCTTAAACATCAGTCAGTGGCAGGATGTCAAGTGTCCTCGGACCCTCAATTCTCCTTTGTTCTAATGATGGATCTAGAATAGTGCTTTAAAAAAAATCCTCAACCCTCTGTCATTCGATTTGCTTGCATTTGAGAAGGTGACAACTAGGGACAGGCTACCTGCTAGTAAAACAGCTGTGCATGAAATTATCGCAACAGTCATAATAATCACCTGCATGACTCTATTTGGGTAATCATTTAGGACTGGGTCAAGTAGGTTATGTAAGTCTGTTTTATTTGTGAGGAAATTCAAGATCAAACAGTGATGAATAGTTGAATCGGATTTTAAACCCTTCATCTGTGAGAGAAAATTTTCAGATTCTGTTCAAGCAACACCTCCCCGAGTCCTGACAGATTCCTCTCAATTTCCATCCAATTTTTGGAGGAACTGCCCACTTCCTTGCTTGCGGAGTCACTGTACTGGGTATATACCCCTAGTTTGATAAGCATAGAGCAGGGGTTCCAAGTTGACCACTTCAGTTCCATTGACTTAAACTGACTTCAGATACATCAAGATGTATCTGAAAAGCTCTTTGAGTTGCCAGAGAGAAAGAAGCCTATTTGCATAAGAACCTGTAATATTTCCGGGAAAAAATTCACCCTAATTAAACAAACAAACATGAGGAGGGGTAGGATAAATACAAAAGCCATGGAGCAGACTCCTTCTGACTCAGCTTCTTGATCCTAGGAAAAGTACACTGCAATACAAATAAAAGTTATTTTGTGAAAACCCTCAGAAAGCATGTGGCAAAGCCAGGAGCTTCTTTGGCTTTGGGCCATTCTTGACTGCTTTCCCAGGCCACAAGCAGGGAGCTGGATGGGAAGTGGGGCTGCCGGGATCAGAACCAGCATCCATAGGGGATCCCAGCACGTTCAAGGTGAGGACCTTAACCATTACACTATTGTGCCAGGCCCCTTAAGATTTTTTAAAAACTTCACTTGAAAGGCAGAATTACAGAGAGAGAGAGAGAGAGAGAGAGAGAGAGAGAGAGAGAGAGAGATCCATCTTCCATCCACAGGTTCACAACCCCAAATGGATACAACAGCTGGAGCTGTGCCAGGCCCAAGCCAGGACCCTGGAGCATCTTCTGTGTTTCTCACGTGGGTGGCAGGGGCCCAAGCACTTTGGTCGTCTTTTGCTGCTTTCCCAGATGTATTAGCAGGGAGCAAGATTGGAAGTGGAGCAGCCCATATGGGATGACAGTGTCAAAGGTGTAAACTTAGCCCACTATGCCACTATGTCACAATGGTGGTTCCTGCTTGTAACTTACTGGTATCTTGACATCCCACTGATGGACCCTCAACTTTGAGGTATGAATCCCTGTTCCAATGGAAAAAAAATCCCTAGGAGGGGATACTCTTTGAATAGCTATCAATCATTTACACATTCTTTGATATGTGTTGTAGAATCCGTCTTAAGAATAGTTTTGGATAACTGGAAATGCATAAAGATCTAGGAATCTAGGAAGAAAGATGGCCAGTGTGGAGAACCTGGAAAAGGATCTGTTTATCCATCTTTTAAGGGAACATCCCTAGCTGGGCTTTACTTTCTTCCTTGTCCTCTTTGCATCTCCCTGTATCCCCAACCAAATCCTGAGATTTTAGGAATAAAGGTTGGGAATAATAAGAGCAGGACTCAGCAAACTTGCATGAACTGCCTTTATTTGTTGTCTGGTGCCTCAGGAGTACTGAAGTCTCCGGAAAGCAACATGTCCCTGATCACCACTGATAGGTGGCCAAGTTCAAAATGCTTCAGACCCACACACTGGGGTCTCTGTTGACATCTAGTAGCACCCCAATGCTCGGGGTGTTTTTTTTTTTTTTTGACACCTACTTAAACTAACCACATGTCATTTTCCAAACACATACACTGAATTCCACCCTATTTGTTTCTCATTTATTAGGAAGGAGAGTTGCCAGGTTCATTGCAACACTCGTCCTGCCTCCGTGGTCTCCAAGGAAAGCAGCAGCCAATTCCCTGAGCCCTGGGTGACTTGAGCAACACCACCCCTCTCTGGTAGATGGCCCAGGCTGATAGAGCTACTCCACCCTTACACACACACACACACACACACACACACACACGGGCCCTAGAGCACACCCAGCGGTCCTGAGAGGCAGCTCAGCCTCCTGACAGGGGGCCCCTTCTCTGTCTCTGCACCATTCGTTAACAGTCCATAGGATTCAGAACCTGTCCACAAAGTAAACGATGCAAAAGCCAGTTGTTTTTTTTTTTTTTTTAAACCTGATAAAAGGAAGTTATGTTGAAATAGGAAAGAGGACTTTCGGGGTGGGGGGAAGCTTTCCAGTTTCATTTAAATACATCCTGTGTTTCAAAATACAAGGAACTATGATGTATGACTAATGAACACTGTATCTTTGTTAACATTTTTAGTGCATGTAAAATGACTGCCAATTTTTTTTAAAAATCCTCCTATTTTGAAATCGTTCTGACTTCTTGAACTTAAAAGTCATTCCCCTTTTCTTGGCTCTTTTTCCCTAGGCCTCTCCCTCGTGCTGGCAGTGTTTCTGCATGTGAGCACAGGGAGCTGGGATTCTCCTTCCAAGGATGCAGCAGACTCCGCGTCAGACACTGCCTAGTTGTGTAACACTGTCCAAGCACTACTCAAGGTGAAAATCAGGTGAAGGAAGGAATGGACTGGGTCACCTTTAGATTCCTTTACACTGCTAACCTTTTTAAGATTTTTAAGCATGGGGCCCGGCACGTTGGTGCAGTGGTTAAGGTTCTCGATTGGCACGCCCGGGATCCCATATGGGCGCCGGGTTCTAATCCCGGCGGCCCCTCTTCCCATCCAGCTCCCCATCCGGGGAAAGCAGTCAAGGACCTGCACCCGCACATAGCCTCGGCCGTTGCGCTCACTTGGGGAGTGAATCATCAGACGGAAGATGTTCCTCTCTGTTTCTCCTCTCTCTGTATATCCGCCTTTCCAATAAAAATAAAATAGATCTTTAAAAAAAAAATATTCAGTCACAGACATCATGGTTAGATGAGGAAAAGCCGGCATGAAAAGAGGGGTCACGCCTCCAGGAAGTGGACACTATTGACAGAGTGGGAATGTGGACAAAGTCCTTCTGACCTATCTACATTTTCAAACAAAGTCAGAAATTAAACATTTACTTTTCAAGAAACCCTGGGTTTTGTTCTTCTTCCCTTTGAAGACATTCTGTGAATAACTGCATAGATTACAACTTGCTCAAACACAACATCAAATGAAAAGTCGGAGAGTTTCAAAAGCCTGCCTCGGTCCACTTTTTAGTCCATTTACTGGCAAAGGTTCCCAACCTGATGTCTGCTCTTTCAACATCTGTTCCTTCCACAACAGCCTTTTGTTCTGTCTTTGCTGCCAAACCGCACTTCACCCCTCCATCGCTGGAGTACGTTCTTTTAAAGAGTTTCAACACCAACACCCTATCAGCCTGTGGAGTCGCAGAGCACAGAGGAGGATCCTCTGAGACCACTCCATTCTTGGGACTACAAGCCTTCCCACACACCACTTTTTGTTCGTGGTCACTAATTTCTAGCAAAGCACAAAACGAATGGTACAGGTGACAGTGATGGTTGGTGTTGAAAGGAAACCTACCTGGAATATTTCCAAGAGTTCCCAAACCACGTTACTCTCCTGTGTACCTGTAAGAGAGATACTTGGATTAAAGAATCTGCCCCAGAATTGCTCCTTTGCACTAACAGGTTAGTGGCCCTGCAGCTCAGAGGCCCCGGGAGTCCCCTGATCTGCTCTGATCTGAGGGAGTCCTCTGGAAAACTGGCCTTGTACTATTCACACAGATCACTCACTGCGATCTGCGTGGACTAACACGATTCCTGTTCTTTCACCAAGGAGGGGGCCTTGGCTGACGAGATTGCGCCAACACCCAGGACCGGCGCTGAAATGGTATCCAGCTCCTCCTAAATAAAGATTCCCTGTTTTATCCAACTGTTGTTAACCGCTGCATGTTGTGCTTCGCAGCACATAAACAGGAGGTTCCAATTAGGCTCGGAGAACAGGAGGTTGGCAAGCATCTCCAAGCTTTTCGCCACGTTGGCTACGAGGACGGGTTAAGGGTGGGGAGCCCCAGGAAAACGAAAACCAGTCACTAGATGTGAGCTAAACTTCCCCCCAAACAAACACAAAACACCCTGGACAAACGGCCTGCTACCCGAATCTGGTGGTCAACCTGGCACCCTTGGGGGTGGAGAGGGGTCTCCCTCTGAGCCCAGCTTCTGCCCTAGAGGGTATCCACACTGGCATCTCAGCCAGGCTGTGCAAAGTAAAACTCTCGTGGGCATGGAGACTCGCTAAGGTGTGCAAGAACAGAACTGTGCCCCCTCCCTCTCCTTGCAGTCCAGCCCCAAAGCAGTTACCCCAAGAATTTCCGTAAGGACCCTGCCAGGAAGGGGTTCCCCTGGGCGCTGCGCTCCTGGCGAGGCCACCACGAAGGTGCAGGAATGTGGGTCCCGCTGATGCCCCGTGCGAGGCGGCAGAAGCCAGCAGGACAAAGGGAAGAAAAGTTTGTGTTTCTCACCCGCCTCTCTCCCTGGGACGACGATGAAGAACCGGTGGGAAGCGCCTGGACAGTCGAGTGCTGTTTGGGCTGTGCGTGGCGTCGCTGAGCGCTTTTGGACACAGCCGGGCTGGGCGCGGGGAGGGGCAAGCCTCACTCTTGGTGACCGCGCCCTGTTTTTCCTGCGAAGCCCCTCCCGCCTGGATCCGCTTCCCGAGCCAGGCGAAGGGGCGGAGTGGGGGTGCTTCCACCCCAGCCTCGGGAGGATAAACCCGGGCGGGAAGGTGACCCCAAGTCAGCAGTGCCGAAAACAGCGAGTTGAGCCCTGGAGCCAGTCAGTAGACTGTTCGCTGCAAAATTTGCAGTGCTGATACCGTCTGCGAGACAATCGGAGTACGAGACAACTGCCGCACCAAACTTTTTCCAATTAATTATCAAAGAGGCAGCAATTTTGAAAGAGAAGAAAATAAAGGCCAAGGGCTCGTCCGGGATTTGAACCCGGGACCTCTCGCACCCAAAGCGAGAATCATACCCCTAGACCAACGAGCCGCGGCGACAAGTGTTTCTCTGTATTTTCTGAACTGCACTTTCCTGCTCGGTAATTGGCTGCTGCGATTTCTAAGGAAAGTTTCGCTGTGACGTCTCCCTTTTGCTCCGCTGCCTTCTTCCTCCCGGTTTACCTAGTCTGAGCCTGGCCGGTCGCCCCTTCCTCTCCCCGGCCCCTCCAGCCGCAGAGGGAAGTGAGGCTGGGACAGCTTCCCGGCTTTGCTCAGAGCCGGCGGGACGCGCACGGATCCAACCCCAAGCCGAGCTCTGTGCAGAAGCCGCGGGTCCCGACCCCAGGAGCCACGCGCGAGCCGCCGCTGTGCCGGCCAGCGCTTGCTGCGAGAGCGCACGTCCTGGAAGCCAGACCCGGGCGCGGCCGGGCTCCCGGCAGCCGGGGCCGGCGGGGTGGCAGCTGGCTCAGCAGGTGCGGCTCGCAGGCCGTGGGATTCCTGAGCAGGAATCACCTGGTTTGCTCCCTGGAGGAGTCCGGCTCTCCCAGTCTCATCCCAACCTACTCACGTCAAGTCCCGCTCCCCCGGCCGCCTCTAGATGCAAGAGCTTCCTAGAGCCAGCCCTTCAAAGCTCCTCTTCCCCGGGGAATGGGTGTATGTAGGGCCGGGCTCAAACGTGGTTCAGCACAAACCTGACTTTTGCTGACTACTCGGATCAACTTGTGACCAAAAAGATCAAACATCCCACTAGCAAGACCTAAG